AACTTCTCTGGGGCAGAGGCCGTGTCCATGGAAAGAGAAGCTGGATCCCAAAGCTGCAGTTGAACTCAACGTCTTCAAAGACTGACCTGTCCACAGTTGTCCTCGTTTCTTTCGGAGGTAGGCCTGCAGGAAGTAACTTGCCATTGCTCCTGTTGGGAGGCGTTGGTGAAAGACATGCGAATGCATCAAAATGGGCATGTTTTCCCTATTGGCGGTTGTACTGAGAGGTCTCCCATTTCGGAGACCCAGAGATGCTTCTGTTATTCCGCGCATAAGCCAGGCTTTCTCTACATGGTGGCTTCCTCCTCTGGGCTTGCGCTCAAGGCGGGTGAAATTAGCGGGTCACATTCCTTCCAAGGGGGTCCTCAGCTGGGAATGTGGCTGAATGAACCAGCAATCTTCATGAATCCCAGAGGAGGTTGCCAGCGTAGTGACAAGACCTTGTGCTGCCTGGGTGTAGGAGGCTGGCTGTGAGATCGATTCATGCTTATAGATTTGGTTCTGCTTGAAGTACCTAATCCCAGGGACATGATGAAACTATGTTTCGCCGAACGGCAGCAGGCAAGAAGGCGTTGCTTCACTTCAAGGATGCGGTTGAAGCATAGAACATTGCCCACTGTCGTCAGGCACATTCAGGCACTGTCCTTTGAGAGTGGCTGTTTGCCGATTTTGTTTGGCCCACTTCATTTGCTGTGTGTTCTGCGCAGGATTCTTGCCCTCGACCAGGAAGTAAGCAAAGATTGAAGTTGAAAGCTGACTGTGCTGTTGTTTGGATCCTTTGATAAAAGTGGCAATGGCAACCCTGAACAACCCTGTTGGCACTTTTGTGACAACGTGTTCCAATGACCTGTAACTGGTCATTGGAACTAAAGGATGGGGTAAACATGTAGGTTTCATAGCGTTGCCCATCCCCTCATTCCCACAACATCCGCCACCTGGCAAGTAGAGCTGGAGGGGTTTGACCCCTTCAATTCAGAATTCGCTTGGATGACTCAAAAAACGATGTGCGAAAATAGGGTGACCTTTCAACAAACGTGGTGACCCACAGGCCCGGCTGCGGCCGCTCCCGGCATATCCCTTGAAGCCGGAGGTGGGATTGGGCCGAAGACGTGCGCAGAGGGAGGTGGATATTTTTGGCCCACGTTGGCTTTTCAACCAAACGGGGGATATGAACTTGACATCCTTTTCGATGGCCTTCAAAGCCCTCCAATGGGATTCACCCCAAGGTTTCTATTCGAGAAGCGCTATGCTCTCTCAGAGTTCCCCTGATGGGATTTGATTTAAGCCACCACGGTTGTGTCAAACACGAGCTGAACCCTTTTCCTTGACAAATTGGAGAGGAATGCGAGCAGAAACCAGCTATCCACTTGGAAAACCCCCCAGGCCGACGCACTGCCAAAGCGTCCGCCTCTCTGTGGGAGCCAAGATGACTCGTGCCTTGCATCGGGGTTGAAGACGCTGAATTTGCATAAAGAGCATGTTGGGACTCAGAGTGCGAAATTGAACCGCAGCGTGCGGTACAAAGTTCGGACATGCATCATACATGCCGTTTGTCATGAGTGTCCAGACTGACTGAACCATAGTAGCCATACGGTTGCTGTGTTTGTTGCCAGCAAGCCGTTCGCCCTGATTTCCTTCTCGGCGCCCTCGCGATCCAGAAACTGCACCATCACTTCTGCCGGACGCTCGACATCCTCGAAATATTCAGGGATCGACAGGCAGCCTTCCTGATAGACGGACGAATCCTCGCTCGACCAGACAATTTTCGGGTTGATGAAAACCATCGGCTCCTTCGGCGCATCTTCCTTGGCGACATCAAGCACGAACATGCGCTTCAGGATGCCGATCTGACTGGCGGCGAGGCCGATGCCCGGCGCGTCATACATGGTTTCAAGCATATCGTCGGACAGGGCGCGGATGTCGTCGTCAACCGTATCGACGGGCGCACAGACTTCGCGGAGAACCGGGTCGGGAATCGTAACAATCGAAAGCGGTCGCGCGTCTGACAGGCAATCAAACGGCAGTGGTCAACGCGGAAATCAACGTGTTCTACTGCGTTTCTGGAACGGCCTGAATTGCGTTGCGGATGTGTCAGGCCGAATCGTCTTGGCGTTTGTTTCATGAACGAGATCCCACGAGTTAGTGTCGTCCGGTGATTGTTCGGAAACCGCCATTGCAGGCGGACTGTTCCTGCTGACGCTGATCGTCTGGCTGGTCCTGAAGACCATGCGCCAGATCCGCCAGCGGGCGGATGCCGACAGCGCCGCGACGGAACAGATACACGAGCTTGAGAGCCACCTCTCGCAACTTCTCAAGTCTCTGGGCGAGATGACGGGACGCATGCAAACGATGGCCGAAGTGTTCGGTTCGCGCCAATCGGACATGATGCGCGCAGTCAACGAGCGCCTCGACGGGATGGGGCACAAACTCGGCATCTCGATGGCCGACACGACGAAGAAAACCCAGGACGGTCTCAGGCACCTTCACGAACGCCTCGCGGTGATCGACCGGGCTCAGCAGACGATCACCGACCTTTCCGGCCAGGTAGGTCAATTGCAGTCGATTCTTTCGAACAAGCAAACGCGCGGCGCCTTCGGACAGGGCCGGATGGAAGCCATCATCCAGGATCAGATGGCCCCAAGCACCTATTCGTTCCAGGCGACACTCTCGAACAACAACCGGCCCGACTGCCTTATCCATATGCCGAACGGCGCACCTTCCCTTGCGATCGACGCCAAGTTTCCGCTGGAAGGGTTCAACCTCCTGCGCAAGGCGGAGACAGAGGAGCAGCTGAAATACGCTCAGGCACAGTTCCGCCGGGATTTTTCCAAGCATATCCAGGATATCGGCGAGAAGTATCTCCTGCCTGGAGAAACCCAGGACACCGCCTTCCTGTTCGTCCCTTCAGAAAGCGTGTTTGCAGAACTCAACGAGCGCTTCGAGGACCTGGTTCAAAAGGCACACCGAACCCGCGTGGTGATCGTGTCACCTTCTCTCCTGATGCTCTCGATTCAGGTCATTCAGTCCGTGCTGCGAGACGCCAAGATGCGAGAGCAGGCACACCTGATCCAGGCGGAAGTCGGCCATCTGATTGCGGATGTCAGCCGCCTCAATGACCGTGTCGGCAAGCTTCAGTCCCATTTTGCCCAGGCAAACAAGGACATTGACCAAATCCTGACTTCCACCGACAAGATTACTGTTGCAGCCGCAAGATCGAGGATCTTGAGCTTGGTGAAATCGAAGCCGCCAAGGAGACGCAGGAACCTGATGAGCCGCGCCAGGCAATTACACCGGATTCCTAGAGCACGCCCCGAAAAACCGGAGGCTCACGTTCCTTCGCTACCAAGACAAAGCCGAAAGGCTGCCCTCAATCTGAAAACAGGTGTCTCAATGTCCGAAAACACACTCATGGATGTCTCAACCGCCGAACCGTCCGATGACCTTTCCAGGCCCATGGCTGCGCTCTGGTGGCTGAAAATGGGAGGATTGGCCATCGGACCGGAATGGGAGGCCGCACATGAAATCTGTCAAAGTGCAGAGGGCGAACCGGCCCATGACTGGATACATGCGCTTTGCCACCTCATCGAGGGTGATCATGGCAACGCAGGCTACTGGTTTCGCAGGGCCGGCAAACCCGTAGAAAAAGACATCGAAACCCTGTGGCAGAACATGGTCCGGTCACTCTGACCTTCTCTGGAGCCTTCGTGCCTTCGTCACAGCTCCCCACTCCGTTGCGGCGATCCGTGATATCGCCCGGTCGAGATCTTCATAGGCAACCGTCATCGTGAAACCGTTGGCATGGAGCAACCTGTTCGGGCCGGTAACGATCGCCACATGTCCTTTCCAGAACACAAGGTCGCCCCGCTGTAACGCTGACGGATCATCATGCGGGATCTCGTGTCCGGCCTCGGCTTCCTGCATATCGCTGTCACGCAGTATGTCGAGACCACTGGCCTGTCCGGCCAACTGGATCAGTGCGGAACAATCCAGGCCGACAGTTGTGCGACCGCCCCAGAGATAGGGTGTGCCGAGCATTTCCTCCGCCACGGCGACCCAGTCCGCGTCATAGTCGTCCAGAGAAACCAGATGCTTGGCGACGACAGAAGAGCCGTCATTGAGAATTGCATAGTTGAGGCCGCGCGTTTCTGTTTCGCCGACAACCGTCACCTGAGCCCCCATGGAGAGAAGACCACGCGGCGGAAATTTCAGATCGGGACCGGGATAGCGATAGGTCCTCAGCGCCCTCACCCGATGTGTTGCCGCCGTTACGGACCCTAGCCCATCAGACGAAAACCAGCCGACATAGCCGTCCGTGTCGAGTTGGCCCCAGGCCCATCCCTCAGCCGTCTTCTCGTAAACGGTGATCCACTCCCCGCACAAGGCTTCGGTGTCGATGGGACAGTCCGGCCGTGGATCCGGCCGGATGGCAAGACTGTCAGCGGTCACCTGAAACACTTCGCCATCGACAAAACGGCCCGTTTCAACTTTTCCTTCATAGTCGCGAGCGGCAAGATCGGGTCGGACAGGATGGAGGCGGCGGTCGAAAGAAGTCGTCATGTCAGAGTTTCATATCCAGGTTTGGTGCACAATTAGCGCGGCAGTTCCTTGGCTTTCTCTACCACGAGATCGCCCAATTGCTCCAGATAAAGAGCACCGACGACTGTTCGGGTTATGATCACGTTGCGCTTGTCGGCCTCATCGCGTTTGCGCGACAGACGCCGGAGGCTGCCGAGCGTATCGAGCGCTCTCGTGATGGCCGGTTTTGTGACATTCAGTTTCGCGGCGAGACCGCGCACCGTGTGAGGTGGAGGCTCCAGATAACCCGTGAGCAGGATCGTCAACTGGCGCGCAGACAGGTCCTGTTCACTGTCGCGCACCAGCGCCAGATTGACTTCATGCAACAATTTCAACGCCTGAGAGGCGCGTATGTCGACCGCCATGACAGAGCCCGTCTCACCCATTCTTCATGGCCATAAAAGCACAAAAACGTTTCGGACCCGTTATTGTGCTGACGAATAGCGTTCGGATATCAGGTCAAACAGGCAGCGGATACCTTGTGCTTCGCCACCGGCGGGTTTCCCCGGTTTATCAGCCGGTGTCCAGCCGAATATATCGAAATGGATCCAGCTCTCCGTGTTTTCAACAAACCGGGACAGGAACAGGGCTGCCGTGATCGAGCCGGCAAATCCCGCGCCTGAGGTGTTGATGTGATTGATATCGGCGACCTTGCTGTCGAGATACTTCATGTATGGCTGCCAGAGCGGCAAACGCCACAAGGGATCGGCCGCGGCTTCCGCCATGACGGCAATGTCTTCGGCAAGACCTTCGTCATGTGTGTAATACGGCGGCAGATCCGGACCAAGCGCGACGCGCGCTGCTCCGGTCAGGGTTGCCATATCGATCAGCAGATCCGGACTTTCCTCGTCCGCCAATGCAAGCGCATCTCCCAGAATCAGACGGCCTTCGGCATCTGTATTGCCGATTTCCACGCTCAAACCCTTGCGGCTTGAGAGAATATCGCCCGGCCGGAAGGCATTCCCGGAGACCGCATTTTCACCACACGGAACGATGACCCGAAGTCGAACGGGCAGTTTTGCCGCCATAATCATCGAGGCCAGGCCAAGAACATTGGCTGAGCCGCCCCTGTCCTTTTTCATCAACGACATGGAAGACCCCGGCTTCAGGTTCAGACCGCCTGTATCAAAGATGACACCCTTGCCGACCAGGGTAACTTTGGGATTTGACGCCTCTCCCCAGGTAAAATCAGCGATGCGGGGTGCTCTGGAACTTGCGCGCCCAACCGCGTGCACCATCGGGAAATTCTCGTCGAGAAGGTCTTCACCAACAACCACACGCCCGGCTCCGCCATGCTTGTCGAAAAGCGCCGCGACAGCAGCAGCCAGGTCCTCAGGACCCAGATCGTTTGCCGGGGTGTTGATGAGATCCCGTGCCAGTTTCACGCCATCTAGGACAATGCCGATCCTGTCGAGGTCGACGTCCTTGCCAACGCCGAGCCTGCGGATCTTCCGGGAAGGAGTAACATACTGTTCGTAAAGGTAGGCCGACAGCGCAAACCCGAGTGCTGCCTGCTCCGGATCTGGAAAGCCGTCTGCGAGGCTATAGTCGCCTTTCGGCAGGCTGCCACACGCCCTGCGGCAAGCGTGATGCGCGGTCGGTTCTCCACACCGAAAAAGACTACAGCACATTGCTCATTTTACGGGATCAGCAAACACGAGGAGGGTTGCCGCTGAAATCGTTGACGGCGCACCACTTCCCGGCACTCTGCCCGAGCCCGGCGAGAACTTCGGCAAGCGAGGCTTCCGTGACAGCGAGAATGGGGGTTGCTTCGGACAAATCGGTATTGCGGACGAGGATTTCGCGCACAGGCAGCACTCCGTTGACTGGAACAATGTGGTTCAACAGGTAAGCCGCCTTGCCGGAAGACGCAATACGATGTGCTGAGCTTCTGCAAATCTTGCAATTCGCAACGGTGCTTAACCATCCATTAGGGTTAATTATCTATTTCTCTAGGAGACCTTTACTGCTGCGGACAACAAGGATGTTGAAAATGCAAGCGCCCAGAATCGGATCCGTATCACGCCGCACCAGAGTGGCCTCTGCGCTTGTTGCCATGACGGCCCTTGTCCTGGTAACCGGATGCGCCTCCAACAAGTCCAACACCGGGACCTACTCTCCTGCCTCCGGCAGCCACTCGGTTTCCCCCGGTTCAAATCTGGCGCGGGCGGAAGTCGGCAAATGGGCAAAGAGATACGACAAGGACCGCAGCAATCGGACGGCGATCCTCGGATATTCCAACGCCTTGAGCCAGAATGGCCAGATCGAACAATCCCTGGCCGTTCTCAGGTCCGGTGTGATTGCCCATCAGAAAGATCGCGAAATTGCATCCGCCTATGGCAAGATACTGGCCATGAACGGGCGCTTCGACGAAGCCCTCAATGTCCTCAGGCGGGCGCAGCGGCCGGATATGCCGGACTGGAAAATCATGTCGGCCGAAGCGGCTATCTATGATCAGACCGGCAACCACGAGAAGGCTCGCAGTCTTTACAAGCAGGCTCTCAAGATTGCTCCGGACGACCCCAGCCTTCTCAACAATCTCGGGCTGTCCTACCTGTTGTCCAACAAGCTTCCGGACGCAGAATACAATTTGCGACGCGCCGCCAGCCTGCCGAATGCAGACAGGCATGTCGCCAGAATTCGCCCTTGTCTGCAACGTACAGGTAAATTGAGAAGCGGTCGAAGGCTACTGCGGAATTGACCCGACAGGCACAAGCGAACATCGCATACCTGCGCGACATGATGCAGACCCGTCAGCGCGGCTGAAGCCAGGGCTGAATCATCCCCCTCCCAGCTTTGCCTGGAAGGGATCCATGGCGGGAGCAAAACGAGCACTTTGCGGACAGACCAGGTCTGTCCCCACGCCGCGAACGCCCATCGGTCGGTCAGCGGGCAGCGTCAATCCCTGACGACGACCCGGTCGCTTTCCAGCAGTTCCTCCACCCACTCAGGCATGCGCATTCCTGCTGCGACCCTGGCATCCTGGGTCTGCTCCGAGACACGTATGCTTTCAAGGTTCGAGATGACTTCGTCGAGGCGTTCGAACGGGACAACAACAACCCCGTCCTGATCGGCCACGATCATGTCACCGGTTTCGACTTCCTGTGCACCGATCTGTATCGGATACCCGACGGAGCCGGGACCTGACATATGCGGTGACGCAGGCGTTATGCCGGTGCACCAGACCGGCAATCCTACCCGAACCATTCCGGAATAATCACGCATCGGCCCATCGGTAACGAACCCTGCTGCGCCACAATTCTTCATCATGCCGACCAAGCCGTCTCCGCCGGCTGCACAGCCGGAGTGATTGGCAAACGACGAAACGACGATATCACCGGGCTGAATGAATTTCAGTGCGGCGAAGACAGCAAGGACGTCGGCCGCACCGCAATCCGCGGTAAGCGCCGGTCCAGCCGCCACGCAGTGCACATCCCGACCATCGCCGAGTGGGCCAATATTCTGCGACAATGCACCGCCGCCATAAAGAGCGTCGACGACAATCCCTGTCGGCACCCCCTGAAAGGAAGCGGTTCAGCTTCTGGTCGGCTGTCGACAGTTTTGACGGTTAGAAGCGTGGAGGGGCCTCGATCGCTCACCCTTCTTTGCAAACCCTTCACGAACTGATGTTGTCGCCACCCAACGCCAGCTTGCAAGCCTCATGATGGCCGCTGCAGCCCTTGCCAATCAATGAAAAAGCCCCCTTCGATCCGAAACGATCGAAGGGGGCTGTCTTGTTGTTCGGTCAGACTTCCGGCCATTCGCCGTTTTCGCCGGCGATTGCCTCAGAAACTGTCGAGTTCCATAACCTGCATGACGGCAGGGCTCATGATGATGAAAAACAGAACCGGCAGGAAGAACAGGATCATGGGTACGGTGAGTTTGGGCGGAAGCGATGCAGCCTTCTGCTCGGCAAACAACATGCGCTGCTCGCGCGTGTCGTCCGCCATCGTACGGATCGCGGTTCCAACCGGTGTACCGTAGCGTTCCGCCTGA